TCTTCACTGTAACAGTATGAAATGGTGTCTGTGTAGCGAAAGCCATGATTTCCTTCTCCAAACCAACAAGAATCCTGAACAGCACTCTGCACGCACACACACCAAGAAATACAAATCAGAACCCTATCATCTGACAGACTTAATACTTACTATGCTGTAGATACATGTTAGTCGTGGTAAGGCACTGCACAGGAAGTTGGGTCTGTAACTTCTGCCGCTAGCTTCCTGGATTTCTGCAGAACTCTGGTGCAGCAGACTAGAAATCTTGCAGCAACATCTTTTCCATATAAAAATGGAGGCTTTACTGAAACACGTGTGACTAGTAGTAGAATAATCAGTGCATTAGCCTTGCTCATATATTTTGATTTTAAACAGAATTTTAAACTTTATTCGAGTTTCCAATGTACAGCAGACTGATATTACCTTCCTGTATTGTGGAAATAGTCAGGGTTAGGCAGATGAAGGATTTGGTATGTGGTTAGGATACAGAGGGGCTTTGGACACATGAGAAATCATGAGAGGAAGCTGGAGGATTGTAGGAGATGTACATTAGATAGATGGCTCTCATAATATAATGATCTCTTAAAAATCTCCTGCAATTGGCTTTCGGCATTCATCACATAATTAATTCGAAGACTTGGTAACTCAGTCTCATTGGGACCAATATATGCATTCATCACAATGAACGTGGCTTGTGATTTAACCTCCTGTGTATCTGTAGCCTGATTCACCACCACATTAGTCCAGTGTTTTGGTGGTGTAATTCAGTGGCATTGCATCAATGTAAAAATGAAGTATCACTGTGATGAATCAAGCCCAACTGTTCAGGAGCTTTCAAGATTGTCTCTAACCAAATTTAAGCATATTTTAATTAAAAGAGTAATGGCTTTACTGAATTAGAAGGGCTAGGTCTTCATAATAATAATAATAATAATAATAATAATAACAGATTATATATATATAGTGTCTTATTTGTACAGTAGGCAAATAATATTTTGTTGTTTGGAAAATACAAAGTATCAGGTATTTATTGCTGCATCAGTAAATCTGAAATCTGAAATCCTGCTCCCTAAAAGACTTGTCAGAACCTCTATAGACTGGAAGGAGATCATACAAGTCTCTTCTTCCACCTGAAACCGAAAATGTTGATACCTAACCTAATCCAAGTATAAAGTTTTAGACAAAACTTTATATCTGCAAGTTATTGCTGATGCCACGCCCTGATCACGATTACAGTTACAAAAATGTACTTGAATACATTTCAGCTAATTATCTTTTCTTCCTTCCATCATGTTAAACATGTTTCCATTTCCACTGGTTTTATTCCCATTTCCTGCGGTGCTATAGCCAGGCTCCTTTTGAGAACTTTACTGCTCCTTACCTCCATGGCTATTTTTGATAATTAAAAATATGGTCCAGTTAGAGCATGACATGCTGGTGTCACCCTTTAAGTGTAATCTAATGCACCATGTATACAAGCCCTCAATTAACTGCACTGGGCTAACAGAAGTGGAAAAAAAAGCAGCCAAATCTCATTTTTGTCACTAAAGCAAATAGAGATGATTGCATAGATACAAGGAACAGCTCTCTAAAGAAAAAACAGTTGGATTAGGCCTCTAAAATATAGTTCCCTTGAAGACAAAAGCAGAGGCTTGCAAAGGGGCTCGCAGACTTACACATTCCTCTCCTTCCAAAGATTTTCCCTTGAAAATTCTATTCACAGCTCCTTTTGGCTTCAGTGGGAATTTTACCTGCAGAAACTGGCCCTATCTAGGAAGGAAGAATTGAGAGAATTGTTGGGCTCTCACAAAACATCATAAAACTTACGGAACTCTGGGAAAACAGAATGTTTCATAGGGAAATTACTATGCATATACACGAGCATTCTCCTCCTAGCTATCATTCTGCTGACCTTGCTTTATATTGCATCTTTTCTGTGCTATGTCTGCCTCTCTTTTAGGTAAGCAACATCTTTTGTAATAATAAATTCATCTTCTTTTACTTTTACTGCTAGCAATACCACAACCCAGCATTCTGTTTGCCTTCTCTGTTGCAGCTATATATGGGGCTGAAGGCTTTAGAGATTTTCACGCAATAATTCCCAAATCTTTTTCCCGTAAGTATACAGTGTGCTGTCAATTCACTGAAGGGCATGTCCATCTGGCACTTTTATTTTTTTCGTCACTTCAGTGCTCAGTAATTTACATTTGTCTGCATTTAATTACAAGAGCTACATAAGGACATAAACAATCTAATCCTTTTTTGTTATCCCCACATTAAGTTTTTCTCTTAATGAATATAAATGTTTTGAAAGTCACATTTGGCTGGGTCTGCTAAAACAGAAGTATTAGTAATTTTTGATAAATAAGACTAACTTGTTCAATAATTTATTTCTACAAGTGAGAAAGACAGGCTGATGCAAGATTGGCTGGAAACTATCATGTGACAAGGCAGTACATTTCTATTAACCAACCAGGTTACATTTTCAAATGTGTGCTTTCTGACTGCCACTGAATTTAGAGAAAATTACTAATCACTTCTGATTAGCCAGCCATGTAGTATATAAAAATGCCATGCTTTTTTTTAAATTGCTAAGAGATTAATAGTATTTTTTTTCTGGAACTCTGAATTATTTTCCTCTTTAGGAAGGAAGCTGGAGAGGAACTTGTCCCAGGCTTAGGTTGCATAGAAATACTTTATCTTAAAAACACATTAAAATATCTAGATTGACCCTATGGACCTATAGAAGAAGTTCAGCCCCCCCAATGTTAACACTAACCTTCTTTGTCCTCAACTTTTATCCTATAGCAATGCGTATATTGGGCCAAATTCTAACATCAATTACATCTGTGCAATTCCACTGGATCATTTGATTTTTGTGTGATTGTTGGGTGTAATAGAGGTAAGAGTTTGATGAACCGATTTCATATTTAGAAGAACATCCAGACCTACTATATCCCTTATGGACCTTGGTTTAATATATGTCAATATTGCATCATCTTTTATGTTGCTGATCAATATAAAATCATTGTTACTACAATGGAAGAAAATCTTAGGTCTGGACTGGATGAAAATAGGTATGTGCTAAGACAATAATTTATATCCCGGTCTTGCCGGGATATTCGCATGGCGCCAACACTAGCATTGTTTCGGCGTCAGGCTAAAGCCATCCTTTTTACTCATACTTTTACTGGGGTTTGAGTCTATATGTGTATGTTCCTCTTCTCGATGTTTTTTAGGAGCTTTTATGTCCCTCTGGGGGCTCTTATTTTAAATTTTTATATATATTTGTATTGTGTTTAAAAAATGTTGTAAGCCATCTCGAATATTTTAAATAATAGAGAGGTGGGGTAAAAATATTTAAATAAATATAAATAAATAAATTTGTCATTGTTCTGATTTTGCTGATAAAAATGAAAGTTTTTTGGGGGAAAAACTTCAATTGTAACAATCATTTTCAATTAGAAAAGACTGTTTTTCAACAATAAAAATGGAAAAATGTTGACCAGCTGTAATATAAAGGAGACGGATGGAAAGGTAATATAATACAACCCCTGTGAAGGCATAGACTGAATAATGGAATTATCATAATTGACAATAGGCCTCCCATAGTTGGTTAATTCTCAAAGGTTTCAGGTCTTTGCTGTGTTCACACAGGATAACAGTCACCTATGCAGCAGCTATGAAAGGCAATTATCACATACAAAATTTTTACCATATAGTTTATTCATATTTGAAAGAGAAAAATTAATTGATGTAATTCAACTAGTAGTACCATTTTACCTATATTACTTGACTAATTATACAGCATCATATGCATTAAAAAGGGACTTCAGGAAAAAGCAAATTTTCTGATGCGGTTCTTTTAAAGGTGTCTAATACCGGCTCCATTCTCTCATCTACTCAGACTGCTTAAGAAATAAAATGCCTATTTAAGTATAATGTGGGGGTATTTTAGATAGCTCTATTCAACCACTAGTTTATTCAACACTAGTTTATCCAGTTCCTTTATTCAGTCTAAACCATTCTCCAGTTCCCTCCTGCTGACTTGACCCTCTTCCCATCACTTGTCCGTGTTTCCTGAGGCTTTGACCTATAACCCAGTAACCTCCAGTCATGCCATCCCAAGTGCATGAGTTCTGCTCCTTTTACTTCAACCACAATTCCAACCCCAGAAATCTCACCCTCTTCCTTCTCGCTCTTTGGCTGTGGTCTACTCCACAGTGCATACTCCCACAGTAGATATAACCTACATAAATAGTGTAGCTGAAGTCAACTGTTGGTGTTTACTGTTGGTGTTTTCAACATTGTAAGGTCAACAGGGGCTGCTCTCCCTCAACTCTGGCTCCTCTTCTCATCCTGGTGGAGTATGGGAGTTGACAGGAGAGCACTCAGAAGTTGATTTATCGTATCTAAGCAGACATAAGTCGACGTCTGGTGAATCGATCGCTGCAGCTTCGATCCCCTGTCTCGTGTAAGCAAGCCCTAAGTCCTCTTCCCTTCCCACTGCCATGCTTTCTCCTTTTATATTGACAAATCAATCAATATGTGAATTCAACAGCAGTGCAACCCTCGGTCTCATCCTACTCTTAGGAAATGATGTCCTGGTAAGGCTGTCACTGGAGAACGTCAAATGTATTTTTAATGACACCCATTGTCTTTGATGGGTACTTATTTTCACTATTTGGTGTCAGACAAACTCAAACAATATGAATTCATTATTAGTCTCCTACCAGTTCATTTGGATTGACAATGCAGATGTTACTACTACAAAAATATGAAAGACTTTATCAGCTTGGTTACTGGTATCCATTGCCCATTATTCCATATGTCACTGAACTCACTTCGTTGCACATAAAAATGTCTCCATATAAGTTGCTTCTGTGCTAAGGTATATTGTACATTCTCTTTAGAAGTTTTCTCCTTTGATTTGATTGTTTCTTTGCCACCTATGTTTATTTTGTAACAAAACTGAGTGGCATCCTGTATTTTTTTTTCAGCCAGTAATATTAAAATAGAGACTCAGAGTGATGAAGAGAATGGGCGTGCCTGTGAAATGAATGGGGAAGAATGTGCAGAGGATTTACGAATGCTTGATGCCTCTGGAGAGAAAATGAATGGCTCACACAATGGCCCAGGCAGCAAAGCTATGTCAGGAGTTGGAGGCATTCGACTTCCTAACGGAAAGCTAAAATGTGATATCTGTGGGATAATTTGCATCGGTCCCAATGTGCTCATGGTTCACAAACGAAGCCACACTGGTAAGGCCTGGCATAGTTTTTCCTTTAGGGCCAAGAATTGGCCACATAAATAGGAAAAGATTTATTTTGTGAGTGTTAGAACCATGTTCCCTTTTATAATAACATTGCTGCTTCCTTAAGCATTTGAAACTGTGTTACTGAGCCGTTCCATTCTGAATTTGAAATGAAGCAAGATTCCTCCTAAAGTTAATTGGCTCCAACCCAGAGAGTCCTAAATTGAAAAGGAACCCATGATTTAAGGTTACAGCTCTAATGTGCTATTGTATAACTCAGTGATTCTTGACTATCCATTCGGGGCGGCACGGAGACTGTAAGCAGGCTTCTGGGGGGGGGTCTGCGAAGCAAGGGTGGCATTAGACTTCTTGGGGCCCAGAGAAAAACCTGAAACCCCATCACATAGGGCTAAAGCCTAAGTAATTTAACTTTGAGAGCCCCCTGTGGTGTAAGGTCTACGAGGTGATTGCCCTGCTTTCTACTCCTTAATGCTGATCCTTGCTTTTATGTGCAGAAAAACCACTGTGGCACAGATGGGCATGCAGCTTTGATAACATTTTGGGGGAGGGTCTCAGAAAGAAATGGTTGAGACCCCTTTGTATAACCACAATGAGACATACATAAATATATCATTTATTCCTTTATACCATCAACAATAGTAAATTATCCTAGTTACATTGATTCCAAAGGCATTCCATTGGCATGGTTTTTTTTAATGAAGACAAAATTACATGAACATTTTTTGAATTGTTTTGCACTATTAAGAAAATATTGTTCTCATATTTCCATCACTGCATAAAGATCATGTTATTCAAATGTCACAAATTAATTAAATTGCAAATCTAAGAATCTTTTTTCATAATTTCTGTAAACAACCATAATTGATTTCATGGCAAACACTTTACAGAATAAAAGCCCATTTTAATGATCATCTGAAACTCCTCAGCAGGACTTCAAAGAGTCATGGAAGGAAGTTGTTTTTTCACATATGGTAGCTTTTCATTATCACGATGCTGCAGCTCTTCTCTTTGGATTCTCTTGTTCTAATGAGCCTCAAAGAACATAGGAACTAATGATCATAACACCACATAGTAAGGCCTAAAAGCATGATCCTGCCATTGACTGTGCTTGAGGATGGGTCACTCTGAACTTAGTGCTGAAACTTGTCACAGGCATAGGGCTGAGCTGTATATAGCCAGTTGCAGGATCAGAGCCTAAAATTGTAGCCCAGATTGTTGGGTATGAAAGGGAAGAATTCACCTAGAGTTTCCATTTGTTGTTTTTCCGACAAAATTTGAGGAACGTCCACACTGCAATTGTGTTCTTCCACAAGAAAATCGAGAAAACATTTGTTGTTTTTCCGGCATTGGTAATCCTCATTCTACGAGGAAGAAGCCCTTTTGTGAAAAAGTTCTTTCACAGAAAGGCATGTGTGGATGGGGAAGAGAGAATTATTTCGGAAGAAGAGGAAAAAAAAAAAAGCACAGGTGCCCTGGTGGCCATTCCGTCCATTGCAATCACAGCTTACGTGGGAGAGAGTGTCCATTCAGTCTGTACTCTCTCTTTCAAAAAGCAGAATGCTTTTTCTGTGCACTTTTGCAGTGTGGATGCTCTCTTTCGGAAGAAGTTTTTTCGGAAGATCTCTTCCAGAAAAGCTTCTTCCGAAAGAATCCTGTAGTCTAGATGAAGCCCTAGAGTCATTCAGGAGCAGGCTAAATAAAATAGTTATGGGTTTTAATGTAGAGACCAGTAATGCACTAACTGGTGAAGATGCATGAAATGACCCAGAACAACCTTTCCAACTCTGGTGTTTATCATTTTAAATGCAACTGCCCAAGCTACAATAACAGAACATTGAGTAGTGATAAGCAATGATCATGGTGATGTTTAGAAATCTTTTTCAAAATACCATGTATCCTTCATGAGAAAAGCAGATATTTTGCATCTTTATTGAAAAACGCAATGAAAAGTTATTGAAAGTGTGATACTGCTATGTACTTGAGAGCTATAGTAAAGGGTTTGGTGGTTTTTCTTTCATTGAATGTTAGTGTACTTCTTTGAAAGCTGATAAAATGTCCACAAGAGTTCTTTTGACAGGCCCAGTTGGCTCAACATATAATGGTATAAAGATAATAGAGTTGCATGAATTGAAATAGACTTAATATGGAAACTCTTGTTTAGCCAGAGAGTTATTTTTAGGAAGATATAATAATATGCAAGAAGCTGTGTTTTTGGTCAGCCCAAAGCTTCTGGCTGTAGTATTAAGCTACTTGCATGATGAAGCTAATTTATTATTTGCAAAAAGTCTGATACAATGAACAGGGAGGAAAGATACTTCCATGTTTGAAAAACAAAACAAACAAAGAAAAGAAAACAAAAAGCCCTCTAAAAGTCCCTGTAGAAAAGCTTCTCAGACCTGTGAATGAATCCTGGGTAAAATTCCTGCTTGTCCATAGAGGTAGAATGAGGCCCTAAGTCTTCAGAACAGAGTTTCAGCAATACTTGCATTGAACTTGGCCAAGTGAACCTCTTTTGGGTCAGGGGCTTCTGACTCAGAGAAAACTCAGTCGGGGACCGCATACAAGTGAGAAACAAACAACAACAAAACAAAAAAACCTCACTGATATGGCCCCTGACTAAGGAGAATGACACTCCCCCTATTCCCCTTGCACACCAGAACCTAGGAGGGCCTAGGTAGTAGATTCTCTGTGCTCCAGCCCCATGGTGCGGTTTCAGGAGGGCTGGAGTGCCAGCACAGGCTCCCCAGTGCCTGGGGGGGGGGAGTCCTGAGCCTTGGGGGTCACATCCAGGCAAGCCAGGGGCCACATCCAGCCCCAGGCCTAACGTTCCCCACCACTGAACTAGGCCTTGTATAGTCCCTCTGCAAATTTCTGTGATGATCACAGAAGAGGGGTGGTAACAATACCTAGAGGGGTCAAGTTGTGTGTGTTCCAGTGTGGTTGCATGGCAGGATTTGGGGATGAGGGGAGGTGGAGACCCCTTATCTCTCTAGCATTTCCTCACAGAAGAGAGATTTCTCTCATAGAAGTTTCTGTAAAGCAGAGATGTTCATGGAGATGATACTAATGGCAGTGGTGAATAATTTACATGGGGGCATACCTGGACACAACTCTCCCTATCTCCATATACCAAAGAGTGGTAAGCAGTTCTGGGTGGACTGTATGCAACATCTTTCAAAATGGCATAGCAGAATCCACTTGTGAACATTCCTCACTCTCAGTACCCATGGAAGTATACCCTGAGCCCAAATTTCCTCTGCTTTGAAGCAGGTGGAGTCATTTATATCTGCGCAGAGTGAGTATAAAATGTTACTAACCTAGACTGACAAATTTGTACTCACTTTAGCACAGGTGTAAATGGATACACAACATGAAGAGCAATGGAGCATTAGGCCCAAGACCTTCAAGAAGTCCTAGTGAAGTGTTGGTCCTCTTCACAGCAACCTTTAGGATTATTAATTTGGCCCACAGGATGCAATTAAAGTATATAGCATGTAGAATGGTGCGGAAAACACCATGCATGCTTTAGTGCACTCATTAGAATCCACATCATTTTTTTATTATAAATGAAACCACAAGTCCTAAGTTAGGTTCCTTAATTGTCCTGTGAGCTTGTCTGATCAAGTCAGTGCTTTGAACAGGGTCTGATACTGAACTCCTTTTGTGAGAAAATCTTTGCTGAAGTCCATTGGAGCTCATCTTGTGCAGGGATTGGAGAAGGCGCTCAGGATCAGGATCAGCTATTCTAAATTAAAGGGATGTCAGAGGGAAATAGCAGTAACTGGTTCCCTTTCAGGTCTGTTGTGAAAATTAAAGTGGAAATGGGATACGCTATTAAAGACATTTAACTGACTATGCCGAAGCCCATTTCAATATGTGCCTGATGAGGGAATAAGCCTTGCAAATGAATTACTTTGCTGCTAATTCATGTAAAACCTGCATATACAGTGAAGGGCTCTTAAATAAATATTTGATAAATGAATAAAACCCTGGCACACTAAAACGCCAAAATATAATGACTGCCTGACCTGATAAAAAGACATAATTACATTTAATGAAAACACCTGCCAAGTGTAGATATGCAGAGTAGCACCTGATATTTTCTGCCCACTCCAGTCTGTGAGTAGCTATAAGACCCAGACTGCACACCAATATTGTTACCAGCTTCTCCTTATTGTACTAGAGGAATGCATTCATGACTATCTGGCCCCCAATCTGTTATCCGGTTGATGATATTCAGCCTATTGTTCCTTTCATGTTAAATTTTTCAGAAAGCACTTTTAAAATGAAAAAGGCATGCTTACTGATTCTCAGACCTCTGAGCATGGGATCCATTAGCCAAAGTCACCAATAGCCTTCTGCTATTGATCATTTGAAGAATTCATACACATTCTCCAGTAAGCAGGTAGGGTGGTATATTTTCACCTGTCAGGACCTGAGTGCACTAATGCACCATATTAGGAGCCATCAGATATAGTGATGGCTGTGTGCATCTGACACCTAGCTATAGGGAGACACTTAGCTAAAATCACTAATGGAGAGGGCTCTGGCCATCTCAACATCGTCCTTATTTTTCCAGCTTATGAAAATAACATATATGGCTTGATGTTGAAGGTTGCTTGAGCATCCACAATACTCATTGAAGCCAAACGGAGATGCTAGTGTTCCACACCTTTCAGAATAATCCCCATAATATCATGTGATTGGCAGAATGTTTTGGAGAGGACTTGTTGCAGGTCAAGATTGACATGCCTTGAGGGTCCTGTGTATCTGGTTTGTGTCAGTGGTTAAAGCAGTGATTTTCAACCTGTGGCTGCAGACCCCGAGGGTCTGCAAACTATGTCTAAGAGGTCCACAAAAGGTTGTCATTACCATATAGCACCTGTTTTCAACCTGAGGTCCACCAACTATATCTAAAATTTATAATGGGGTCTGCACTTCCATTTGAAATTTTTAGGGGTCCACAAATGAAAAAAAAATTGAAAACCATTGTGGACCCCTAAAATTTTCAAATGGCAATGTGGACCTCTAAAAATAGTCCACCTACACATGTGAATGTGTATGTGAGTGCACTTGCAATAAGAAATGTTTTAGTAGGGATGAAAAACATGCAAGTAAGGAGGATGTGATAAACTTTGCTCAAGGGGGATTGAAATTCATCTCTATGTTAAGACCTAGCTAGGGCCACTGACACTTAAGAGGAAATTAAATAGTGCCTAGACAGGAAATCAATAAAACAGTTAAACCAGATTTCTCATATAAAAAGACAAAATTTACTTTCTGCGAACTAGTGTCTTTCATTCTGTGTGAGGTTCTCATGGCCAGTGGTATTCCTAGATAGATCCTGGACTGACTTGCCATTCTTGTTGAAGGTTATTTGGTCCATTAGGTCCCATAGTGAGTACATGCTTTTACATCCCCATAGCTGTAGAGTGGACAGTTTGGGTAGTGGGAGCAAATTTACATGGATGGACTCTCTTTTAGTGCAGAGGTATTTTCAGTTGTTGCAATACAGTGACTGAAGTATTCGTTCCCTAATAAATGCTCTTATTGTAAGTTATATAGCATTAGAGAGTACACAGCTTTTCAGTCTTACTCTGCATGCCTCTCCCTGCATGCTTTTATCATCCTTATTTTTTCTTCTTTTGCTTCTCAAAGTAAAGCTAATTCAAATGATGACAGAAAAGCTGCTTAGTAAGAATTAACTGTTTCCTCTGTATTTGTGATGGTCAATGTGAACTGGCTTCTCAGTTACTGTTTCACTCCACCCTCAAAAATATCTTTTCTATTAATTGCTACAGAGATGTAGAGAGTGCAAACGAGAGGCAGACTCCATTAACCACTCAGATCTTTGCAACCCATTTTGTAAATAACCTCTTCTCAAATGATCATTTTGTACAACCCTGGGGCTTGTTCATCAGACTTCAGTAGAGCTGCACCATTTTACACTAGCCAAGAGAATCTGTTTCTTTTTTGGGAACCAGATCTTCAATGGTATTTAGGCACCAAACTCTCATTAATTCCAACAGGAGTTTAAGTGCCTAAATAATATGTGGGCCGTGATGAAGACAGGAACACGTTTCCTAAAACGGGAGATTCAGACTTTCCTGAGGACATTTGGTCAAATGCTCCTTTTCACAGAATAGTTTCCCATTAGCACAGTTTTGAATGTTAAGGAATCTGACCCTGATTATAGAGATCACCCAAGCAAAGGATTCTTCATAGATCAGAGTGAGCTTCGCTTCTATCTGTTTGTTGCTGAGCTATCTAGCCATATTATGCAGTAGCGAGAATGGTTATAGCTTGTTTTTGTATGCTTTCACACACAAGCTAGGTATTTCTAAATGTGCAAGATAAGAAGAGATGTTCATATGGGTTGGGGGGAAAAGGAAGTATTTACTGATTAGATTTTGTTAAACATGTATTATTCTTTTGCATTGTACATATCTTTACTAAAAAAAAGATCAATTTTATCAGTAAAACATTAGCTGAGTTTAAATTATTTTAGTTTTCCTTTAGGACAAACAAATGTGAGAAAATTAGTTTCAAAGGTTGGCTTGATGACACACTCTGGGATTTCTTATGGCTAACAGAAATGATAGAAGGATTTGGGGAAGATGATACACATGATTCCTTTTTTATGTAAATTGTCGCATTTGGTGCAACTTTAAACACATATGCCACTTTGCAGAAATTTTAAAATATCAGGTACCTCAAAAGAGCATAACAATTTCAAAAAGCAATACGAAAAAGCCAAAACCCCAAACAAAAGGCTGTGTCTAGACTGGCCAGTTTTTCTGGAAAATCAGCCACTTTTCCGGAAAAACTTGCCAGCTGTCTACACTGGCTGCTTGAATTTCCGCAAAAGCACTGACTTCCTACTGTAAGAAATCAGTGCTTCTTGTGGAAATACTATTCTGCTCCCGTTCAGGCAAAAGTTCCTTTTGCGCAAAGCTTTTGCGCAAAAGAGCCAGTGTAGACAGCTCAGATTTGTTTTCCGCAAAAAAGCCCCAATGGTGAAAATGGCGATAGGGGCTTTTTTGAGGACGCGTCTAGATTGGCACGGACGCTTTTCCGCACAAAGTGCTTTTGCGGAAAACCATCCGTCCCAATCTAGACGCTCTGTTCCGAAAATGCTTTTAACGGAAAACTTTTCTGTTAAAAGCATTTCCGGAAAATCATGCCAATCTAGATGCAGCCTAAAGCTATATTTACATCTTTGGTTTGGCATTCTCACTTTCTCCCTTGATAAAGTGTACCAATTTAGACAAATGACTGTGCTTCCTTAAATGGTTGGATTTTTTTTATCTGAAGTGGAGAAAAGCACAGCACATTAATATAACTCTTATGTTCATATCCTGTCTAGGGGAGGTCAGGACTTTTGTATGGAAGGTGCTGGGTTTCCTTTACACTGTCTTAACTTCTCATTTTATTTTTCTCTCTCTTTTTTCTGTCTCTTTCCTGATTTGGCTGCTTAGGGACAGACAGGTAATGGAGAAGAAATTGAAAGGGAAAATACAGGGAAAATGTAAATGAAAAGAAGTTATTATAACTGTTATAATGAAGTGCCTTTCATTTAAATATAAGAATGTAACGCTGAAATGAACTTGTGATCCTGAAATGCATTTTTAATGAGTTTCCTTTTTATTTTGCTGCTTCAGTGGCATATTTTAAAGACCCTTTGAAAAAAGCCACATTAAAAACCCCACCAAATGCCACAACATGCAAAATTGGATATTGGTTTATTCCAAAACTGCTGATCAGGAAGAGTGGCTCTTCAACACAAAATGTTGCAGTCACTTTATTTAAATGAGTTTGAATTTGCATTGTGATGTGCCATTCTGATTTAGAAAAAAAAAATTAGATTTTCAGATCAAATTGACCCAGCCAGTGAAGCGTTAAGAAACTGGCAGGTTTAGTCTGAAAGCCTCATGTTATATCAAACCTGCAGCCGGTGGAAGTCATAGAGCACCAGTGAGAAAACAACTTTCTCACTGAAATCTTTCTCTTGTTCCTATGTAAGATTTTTGTTCTCACATATTTCTCCTTTTCCTTGTAGGGGAACGCCCTTTCCACTGCAGTCAGTGTGGAGCCTCGTTTACTCAGAAAGGCAATCTCCTTCGCCACATAAAGTTGCATTCGGGCGAAAAACCCTTCAAATGTCACTTGTGCAACTATGCCTGCCGACGCAGGGATGCCCTCACGGGCCACCTGAGGACTCATTCTGGTAAGTAACCACATCCAAGCACTTTTTGGACAAAGTTTGCTTACTTCCTGGTCAGGGCGAGGTGTAATGTTCATGCTCACTGCCACTAAGTCTGCAAAGACTGCTTAGGTTAGGGTGCAAGTGGTCTCATTTCAGGCTTAACCAGCTTGGGATATGAACAAAAAGTGATTAGCTGCAAACGTTGAACAGTGAGAAAGCCTCGTCACAATTCTATTTATTTTAGCAACCCCAAATAATCATCTTTTCTTTATTTCTTGGCCCCAGGCTGGTTGGAAATTTCCATGTTGGGTTCTGATGTTTCAACCCTTAGGGGAACAACCCCTTTAATGGGACTACTTGCATGAATAAGGATTGCATCTGAGGCTATGTTTAGTCCAGAGTTTTCTCGGAAAAATGGCCATTTTTCCAACAAAACTTGTTATGTCCACACTGCAAGTGCATTCTTTCGACAGTAAATCGAAAGAACAGAGGGCTTTTTGAGCAATTGGTAACCCTCATTCTATGAGGAAGAAGCCTTTTGCGAAAGCGTTCTTTTACAAAAATGTGTGTGTGGATGGGGAAGAGCGAGGTTTTTTCAGAAGAAGAGGAAAGAGGAAAAAGCGCAGGTGCTCTGGTGGCCATTCCATTTACAACAATCACTGCTTACATGCGAGAGAGCGTCTGATGCTATCTTTCAAAAAAGATCACTTTTTCTATGCGCTGTTGCAGTGTGAACGCTCTATTTCGAAAAAGTTTTTTCAGAAGATCTCTTCCAAAAAAGCTTTTTGCGCAAGAAGCCTGTAGTCTAGATGTAGTCAGAGTGAAATGTACCGTGGTGTAGAGGCTGCTTGAGGCCTCTGGACCAGTTAAATCCCACTTAATCCCTCAAATGAAGGTATGAGTAATGCACAGGTTTAATGTTGGGTCTGAATATGAGATTATTTCCACCCATTGTGGACAACACATGATTTGTACTAAATTTTACTGTTAGATGTTTCAGATAGGGGTTGGTATTTCTTAAATTAAAACGACTCTAATGGAGTCTTATGGATAAATATTTTCTAAAATACTCATGCTTGTGCATGAGTATTTCACTGAATAAGGCTTCTTAGTGTTTAAAAAGTTCACAGCATCATGGTCCTACTGAGAAGCAAATCCAAAATAGTACCTTCACCAATAAAAGTAGCCAGTAACCATGCCAACTGGGGCTGTGATTTCATCAGGTTTCACAAATCAAGCTGGAATAAGCCTGCTGAGTATTTGGGCAGGAGGCTTCCAAGGGAATCCCCTTATGCTTCCTGTAGTGATGTTGGTCATTTGCTCTTTGAAGTTTAGCATGGAGCCAATGACCTTGTCTGGTGGTAGCAGGCTCTGGACTTACCATTTTTTTAATACGAGGCCACAAGTGCTCACTAAAGATTGCTCTGTTTGTAAAAACAGTGGTGTTCTCCCAAGTGTCTAAATAAAATTCTCTTTGGATTTTGCTTATATCAGTTCCTAATTCAGAAAACAATTGAAACAGTAGCTTAATGTTAAACTTGTGCTTAAGCTCATTGATTTCAGTGGGACTTAAGCATGCACTTAAATAATGTCCTGCATATAGATTTTTTTCTGAACTGGGTATAAATGCATTCTGCTTATTTAGAATTGCTATTTCAAGGTGATACAGTATTCCTCTTCACTTCCTACCTAAACAAGTATTGTGTTGTGCTTTATGCTATTTAGCCGCTGTAGCATTCTACTCCAAATGTAGGTGAAGTGTTTTCTGTACAGTTTGAATAAAATTTTGAGATTCTGTAGGACATGAGACACTATATAAATACACAATATTATTATTAGCAAAGTGACATCAAGGCATGCAAGTATATTGGTGATCCCAATCCAGTTCCTAGCTGACAGTGATGGTAAGTGAAACTCAAACATGAAGGTTGTATAACCATCCAAAAGTATAGCTCCTTAGCAAAACTAGCCAGTCTTACAAGTCTACAGATTTTGGGCCAGAAATCTCATGTGAACGGTCATGGTTGTAAAATTCCCCAGTACTTTCATGGTCATCATGGTAGAAACACCACAAGCAGAGCCTCTGTCTTGAAATTTCAATGCTTTTCTTTCTGGATTCTGACAAAGCCAAGAAAATAAAAATATTTTTATAAAAATTATCCAAGACTTATTTGAACCTTAAAAAAGGCTCTGCTTGGATTGGGCTTCAGTTTTAAGTAAAGGATAAAGATGGTTCTTATTTCATCAGAACTGGTGGAGAGTTGTCTACCCCCACAAAAACAGTCATCACAGTTGGCAGTCTCTGGACTTTGAACCTGAACTGTCTTCTCCTCCGTACAGTTCTTTACTCATCAAACTGAGAATTCTGCCCCACTCCAAAGCAGAGGCACATAGGCAAAGAATGAAGGAAGGTTTGTAGTGCTGCGATCTTTTCTGCCAAACTGGCAGTTGCCCAATATAATACATTCTAAGGGGTAGCGTCCAAGGTTCTGAAATTACAGAAAGTGGGATCCCAGCATCCTGAGGTAATTTTCAAATTGAGAACCCAGGATTTTAACATCATCAGTCCTAGAATTTTGCAAAGCCTTTAACTTTAAAGAAACAGTTATCAATACCCTCATCTTCATTTTACAAAACCTGGCAAACAATACTTAAACATATTTGCCAACATCCTTTGAGGTATTTGGTGCCTCTGTGGTTCTCTGATTGTGCAGTTGCTTATCATGAGTCACCAAGACAAAATTATGATACTATATTTGCCCCAGATATTTGGGTCAGTTCCAAAGCAGAGAAGGAAACCAGTCAGGACAAATGACACACCGAATGTGTGGGGAAACTGAGATTGTCCTTGTTTTGAAGATTTAAGGCTAGATTCTTTGGCTGATGTAAATCAGGATAATTCTGTTGATTTCAATTGAGCTATGCCTATTTGTATCAGCTGGTCTTTAAATTAGAGGCTACTAGAAGACTTATCCAGTGTTGCTGGGGTCCTTCAGGACAGGGGGGCTGATGGTGTATGGGGTGCAGGAGTCAGGGCAGGGCCTTGGGAATGTGGAGGAGCGACAGGGTAGGAGGTTGGGAATGTGGGGAATGTGAGAGTGAGGGCTGAAGGCGAAGTGGGGGCTCAGGTTAGGGGGTCCCATTCGTCAGAACTTTCTCTCCCAACCAGATGCCAGGGGCCTTGGCTCTCCCTCCCCTCTGATATTGCAGCCAAGGGCTGAAGCAGGGAAAGGATTTGGGGCAGGGAGGCTACTTACATGGTCTGGTGGCAGGTAAGATAGTGGAGCCCCAGCCCTACTGGCCACTCTCTTGGTGTTGTGCTTGTCTCCAGTGAACTCTTTGCATTATAGCTCTCCCCTGTGCTGACTGCCCTCAGTGGACACTTTCAGTATCACGCCCCTCCTCTATGGGCCCTCCTCTCTCCATCCCTTCCCTTTCCATGTTATGGAAAACAGTCCTATTCCCAGCTCTTCCCATTTCCTTGGCATAAACAAACCTTAACCCTGCTTTGATTTAAGATAAAAAGAAGCTGCATACCAAATTTGGTGGTCTTAGCTCTTACCACTTAACGAGTTCTTGAACAGACAGACATTTCTAAAATAAATAAATAGATAACTACATTCTCATTGTTTTTAGAGTCCCCAAAACTCCATTGATTGTTGGCTGTGTATGGTGATAGCATGAATGATTTCTTGTTGTTATCATTGTTATTGTCAGATATTTAACTTAACTCATTTGCTAATTGTGTTTTCTGCAGTTGGCAAACCTCACAAATGTGGATACTGTGGCCGAAGCTATAAACAGCGCAGCTCTTTAGAAGAACATAAGGAACGCTGCCACAATTATTTGCAAACCATGAGCCTTTCAGGCAGCTTGTATCCAGGTAGGAGTCAAAAGCAGTAAGGGTGTGCCGGGAACCTGTAACCTCCTCTAACTTATTAATTGCCAAGGAATGGTCTAGTGGGGCTAGTCAGATAATTATACAGAGTTATTTCTATACTTAATTCATATTTCATTTTCTTGGCTCCAATCTAAAACAATCAAGCTAAGATATGAAGGCCAATTTTGACTGTCAGATAGAAACATCACCTTCCAGTAACCAGCTACATGACTTGGAACTCCTTAGCTCACCAGCTGTTCAGCCTAAAGAATTCATAGGGCTGAAACTTCCCTCTTTATTTTGAGTCCTACAGATTTCAATACTCAGAGATATAAACTCTTGTTAAAAAAGTAATTTGCACCGCCAATAAGATTTACTCCAGAATGTGCACCTTTGGTATAAGGGAGGGGGGAACACACACACTCACATTCTTTCTCAACCTTGGGTCTTAGTGCACAGCAATGAGTAGGTGCTCAGTGCCAACTATTCCTCCCAGGCCAAGCAGGTGAGGCGAAAGAGAGATGAACCTTAGCTCTGCCCCACAATGCACTGACTAACCCAGAAGAGCCAATTTGGAGAGAGTGATAATTTGCTGTTGGTAGGCACCCATCCTAACCAAAGAGGAAGTAGGGAAGGAAATCATGCCACTCTGCAACACACTTTTTTCCCTTGGGCCCTGTGCACCAACACTTGATCCCGTGCTTAGGGCATGTGGCAGGGCCATAATCTATCCCTACGAGAATACTGAATCTGAAATTGTGCCTGAAATTGAGCAGTCTTGCTCAAACTGAGACTGATCATCAGAGGTGATTATACCATACATGTTTGTAGGCATTAGTTCAGGTGGAGAGTATAGTATCAATGTACAGAGGAATTTAAGGTTACAGTCCATCTGATAAAATACATTCCTTGCTTACCTTTTTGATCTTGTAAATATATATTATTCATTTCATTAAATGACAAAATGGTACATTATCTCTGACCTATTTTCAATGATGCCTTATTTAACATTGTGTATCTGTACAGCACTTGAATATGTTTTTACATGTTACAAGAAAATGTAAAGTATATGCACATAATAATATCACTGAATGTAGCTGAGATTCTTCTGACAGACAGCATGTTAAATCAGCACTCCTAATTTTATTGAGGGATTGGAAAATGTATTAATAGGAGGAAAGCTGAAACTAACATATTTCAGGCAGTGATTTTTATTCCGTAATGTGGTGATAGGATTTAGAAGCAAATAGTCTCTTGGGGTTTAAAATTTCCAGTGCCTGGCAGAAAGGTTCAAAACATCTGTGGCAAAATAAAGCCAAAATCTGTGTTAGCTTTCCAGTTACTTGCTGAAAATAAAATATTATTAATAAAGAAAAATATGCAGATGAAGCTCCAATCACTAACCAGAAACTTTAATAAAAAATAACATAGATTTATGGGACTGTGCTTATTATAAACCCAAAGCTTATATGTTCACAGCAGTTAGGGTTGTTCAGCTCAATATTTAATATCTGAATCAGATTGAAATTTGGCATGATCATAAGTAGCTCTTAAGAAAAAATGTCATACAGATACCTATTATATTTACTATGACTTTGATTTTAGAAACCAGGAGTAAAATGGAAGGATTAGCATATATTCTAACTGCTGTATTTTGCCAGGGATTCTACTTTAACAAAAATTGGTATTATTTCTCAATTGATAAACCTGATTTTCATTTTAAAAAAAAGTGTTGAAAGGCTCCCTAGCTCATCACAAACAGTTTGATTACAGATGCCATTTTTCAATTTTAAAAATATTGTAGCTCTAAAATAGTAAATATGCAACAAAGCAGTCAGAATGGGGCAAGGTCTTTTTGGAATTTAAAGATAGTTTTAAATGCATGTTTTCATATTCAGAAAAGTCAGTCTTATATGCAACAACTGCTGTTCATACAGCTTTTCAGAATGCATTATGGAGCTATTACAATGGTAATAAAGTCCCACTGATTGTTGTATTGATACTAGAATCATAGAAATGAGGAGTAAGGTCATCGGGTCCATCTCCTTGTTACTGCAAGCTTATTCTCCACAGCATAATTCCTAGTATTTTGTCTAGACTAAATGAAGAAGTATTAAGCAATCGATTTCTAAAATGCTTTTTAGGAGCATGATAGATCTCACTGGGAACCGTACTTAATTCAGGCAGATCCAAAAGAGAAGGGAAGAATGAGGGGAACCACATATTTTCTTTCATTTTGTCTGAATTTGAAGGAAATTTGGGGTGAAATGCTGGCCCCATTGCAGTCAATGGCAAAGCTCCAAGTAACTTCAGTGGGGCTAGAATGTCATCTTAGTATCTGCTATTATTTCTACAGACCTAAGTGCGAGTTTTGCTGTTGATTTCAATAGGAACAAATGAGACCCTCCAAGTAATATGTAGGATATCAGAAAAGACAAACTATGAAAACTTAATTGACTAAGCTGTACTCTTGTGGTTTAGTATGTGAACAGCATCAGTCAGTGAAGATATGGCCTAGTACAGCCATGAAGTCACACAGATAGATGTTGTAGACATATACAAATATTAGCAGGATGAAATTAAAATAAATTTCTTCCCTGTGAAGGGGGCAGTCCAACTAAGGGGATCATGTGACCTCTTCATGTGACTCCACCCCTGCTATTTTTCCTGCTCTGCCCTTTGCCAGCCAGGAAAATGGGAGAAGCCACAGCCACACCCACTGTCCTTCCACAGAGCTGCCTCTTCTCCAGCTCCCTCTGTACAGCAGCAGTCCTGCTGGAGGACAGGGCTGGAGGCAGGTTGGGGATGGAGGGAGAGAACAGGGCTTGGAGTTCTGCTCCTTTCCTTGGTGGGAGGGAGGGGAAGGTAGTGAGGAAAGGAGCAGAATGCAGGCAGCTCCTCTGGCTGCAGGGCTGCTGGTGTAACAGACAGAGCTGGAGGAGAGGCAGCTCCATGTAGGTGTTAGGGGCAGTTCGGTGACTTTTCAGTATGCCATACTGGCTATAAATAGCTGGTATGGCATAACGCATCTTGCTGTCCTCTTTCTTGGCAGTATGGCATTCACCTCTGGATATCAAAGTGGGTTAATTTTTTTGTTCCCACAAAAAATTCAGTGAAAACATGAAAACAGAATCAATTTTCAGGTGTTAGTAACCAAAACCCTCCCCCCATTTTTTTTTGAGGAAGATGTGGGAGTTATGAATGTCAATTTCCAAAAACTGAAAAAAATACTGTTTTTTTGGCATAAAGGTTTGCTTGCCATTTTTCATTAAAACCCCCCAAAACACTGAAATCATGTGCTAGCCTTCCTTTAATTCTTTGGAAATATATTGTGCTGCATTGCTGGATACCATGGATGTGTTTGCCTTGTGATGGCAATATAGGAACTGCTATTTGTCATTGTCTCCTTTAGAAGCAATGAGTATTTGTTACTTTGGGCCTTTATCAAAGATTTCTACCCTTTAGAGTCTTCTAAATTGGATTGGTAGAACATACGCTTTAAGGTATTCTTGGAAAACATCAAGAGCTTTCCTCTTTAATAGAGTGCATTGTAATAAGGATGCAACAGCAGTGCCCTGTGCTGACTGACTGATCACCTCCAGATGCTATTGAAGGTGTAGGTCACAGTCTTTAAAATCATAAATGGTTTAGGATCCAGTCACTACAGTGAGCACTTCAATAAGTGAGCAGTGTTATTCTGCAGCAGTGGTTTGAGACCTGCTAGGCTGCTCCTGCTGTTGGTTCCTAGTTGCTTCCATGGGGGCACTCTTCTCTGAGAGCACTTAACAGTGCCCTCTCCTGATCCGCCCCACTAGCCTGTTAACCTCCAGGCACAATATAGCCTAGCCTCTTCTACCAGGCTGCCATTTAAATGACATATTGTTAACGTTAGAGAGACAAGGTGGATGAGGTAATATCTTTTTTGGACCAACTTCTATGGGTGACAGAGACAGGTTTTTCAAGCTTACACAGCAACAGAAGTTGGTCCAATAAAAGATATTACCTCACCCACTTTGGGTGTCTCTAATATTCTTGAATTGATACATAGATATTGCTAGCATGGCAGTCAATTGGTTTTGCTTATTCCTTTTATGTTGGCAACAGATATTTTCTTTTAGGTGCCCAGTTAACACAACCATATAAGCATCCATAAATACGTCGGCACAGTTATTGAGAGGATAACATGTGTCACCAGCATACATAGAACATAAGATAGCTTGCAGAATAAATACCTAAATCATTCATGCTTTATTACTTGATGATCAGATATCTGCCTTATAATTTCATCTTCTCGTAAAAAATAAAACTAAACCTACCACCCCATCTTCCCCCCAGAAAACAATCACTTAGTATGTGTTACACACACTTGATAATCTTCGTCTCCTTCACACGTTGGATGCTCAGAATAGATATAGTTCGTCCTCACAGAGCTGGTATTGTGGCTTTTTATTCTCATCTTCCCCCTTCAACTTCCATAGGCAATTTCAGCAAAGTGACATCACTGGAACCTTTTTCCTAGTGGCTCATAGCTCAGAATCTCTTTGCTGGGCTTCCTTTCTTAAACGTAATACTTCTTTGCAGCAGCAGGAAGTCAGAAAACAGTCTGAGTGCAGAAGGTCAATGCTCTATGATAAATATGTTTAGCCACTGGATTAGCTAAAATTGGATTTTAATGACTAACACTATATCAGGGAAGTAGAGTAATAGGGAACTGTCAGAGAAGTTGTTTTGTGCATAAATTATAGATACAGTAGTCTTCTGTACAAAATGATAGCCATGTCCCATTTCTATTGAGGCAATGGATATTGTGCTGGGATTTTCTGTTTCTAAAAGGTCGTAGGGGGAGGGTAAGTGGTAGAGTACTTCCTATCAGATGTAATACTAAAAGGCTGTGTCCAGACTGGCCAGTTTTTCCGGAAAATCATCCACTTTTCCGGAAAAACTTGCCAGCTGTCTACACTGGCCGCTTGAATTTCCGCAAAAGCACTGACTTCCTACTGTAAGAAATCAGTGCTTCTTGCAGAAATACTGTTTTGCTCCCGTTCAGGCAAAAGTTCCTTTTGCGCAAAGCTTTTGCGCAAAAGGGCCAGTGTAGACAGCTCAGATTTGTTTTGCGCAAAAAAGCCCCGATTGCGAAAATGGCGATCGGGGCTTTTTTGCGGAAAAGCGCGTATAGATTGGCACGGACGCTTTTCCGCAAAAAGTGCTTTTGCGGAAAAGCGTCCGTGCCAATCTAGACGCTCTGTTCCGAAAATGCTTTTAACAGAAAACTTTTCCGTTAAAAGCATTTCCAGAAAATCATGCCAATCTAGATGCAGCCAAAGATCTTCGAGCTTGGTTCTCCGGCCTCCTGCACTATGTGTCATCAGTTTGACCATTATAAAGTGGATGTAAAACTACAGAATGATCATGTTAGGCATCCATTTTGCATCAGTGCAAATAACTAGACAAGTCACAGAGCAACAGAGGATCAACTCCCCAAAGATGTAGTTGTACTTTGTACATCTTGTTTGAGGGGAACATGGTTACTGATCTAGTCTGCCTCAGGGACAATGGTACAAACACATAGAGTCAGTCTGTGCCTGTAAGTTCCAGGTTTTAGTTGGTTGCATTAAGAATGGAAAAGTCTGACTAGCACGATACTAAAATGATAGTTCCATTAGAATGGAGCATGCGTGCCTAACCCTTCTGATGTCATTTGATTTCAGTCATAAAAGAGGAAACTAACCAGAGTGAAATGGCTGAAGACTTGTGCAAGATAGGGTCAGAGAGATCGCTCGTGCTGGATAGACTAGCAAGTAACGTCGCCAAACGTAAGAGCTCTATGCCTCAGAAATTTGTTGGTAAGAGTTAAACGTTTGCTGTCTCCTAAAAAAAGCCTTATAGGGTTTTCAGTCTTGCATTATGGTTTTAATTTGTTATCATTAAATTAACAATATGTAACTATATGGGATTCCCTATAAGGGTGCATTGAAAAGGAATATTTCCTGCATGTTTAGATTTCCATCTTACAGTTTTCCTAGAGATTTCAGTATTCTTGCCTTTCCACTGATGATGACCTAGGTTTTCTCTATTATCGTCCTGGGAATTGAGGCTCCTATTCAGGAAAGCACTTAAACAGATGGAGGTTACGTTTCGTTAACTTTCCATATCAGGGCCAGACTCTTTGTGTTGACGCAGGTGTACGTAGGTGAAGATGGGCTGAACATAAGAGTTTAATACTCTTTCAGTCCTTCAGAAAGGTCAAATACTTGATTAGCTCATTTCTTTGGTTTAGTATCATTTGTAAACCTGGAAATGTTCGCCCAGTTGATGGGAATGGTAAAAGAAAAATCCAAGATCAAGATATACTTCTGCATATAATACTGTAAGAAATGTGAGCTTCCATAACATGCTTCCTGCTTTTACTAGTAGACATTTTCTTGCCCTGGTGACTTAAGTAGGAGCTTGTATACATTTTCTTCTAGTTGGTACACAGTGTGCAGAGTAATGGCAGGATCAGGCCTGTAGCAAAATCAGTCAAAGGAAATTGAATACAATGAGAGAGTATGCAATAATGTTTAGGTTCAGACTTAAACTCTCAAAAGCATGGAAACTCAAAAGAAAGCCTGAGCTTCTTATAATAGACAGAATATTTAGACCTCTCTAGTTTTTTATCACTTGCTTGAGGAGAAGATAAAAATCATTTGGAAGGAGTACATTGTAAGAATGGCTCAGAAGGGTAGCCATGTTAGTCTGTAACTTTAAAAACAATGTCCTGTGGTACCTTAAAGACTAACAAATTGTATGTATGTATGTATAGTATCATGAGCTTTTGTGGGCAAAACCCACTTCTTCAGATGAAATTGCATGAGTGGTTTTAAAGACAAGGTGAAATCATGACAGACCTGGTGAGGGAAGGGGATTCCAAAATATAAGAAGCCACAGGGAAGGATACTTGATTGCAAGAGTGGAAAACACAAAGGGAGCAACCTAAAAAACAACAAATAGTCTTGCAGCACCTCAGAGACTAACAAAAGATGTAGGTGGTATCAGCAGTAACTCGTATGGAGCAAAAGGGGTTAGAAATCATGCGTGGTGTAGAGAAGTTGAATAAAGAAAAGTTATTTATTAGTTCCCGTAATAGAAGAACTAGAGGACACCAAATGAAATTAATGGGTAGCAGGTTTAAAACTAATAAAAGAAAGTTCTTCTTCATACAGCGCATAGTCAACCTGTGGAACTCCTTGCCAGAGGAGGCTGTGAATGCTAGGACTATAACATAGTTTAAAGAGAAGCTAGATAATTTCATGGAGGTTAGGCCCATAAAAAGCTATTAGCCAGGGGATAGAAATGGTGACCCTGGCCTCTGTTTGTCAGAGGCTGGAGATGGATGGCACGAGACAAATCGCTTGATCGTTGTCTTCAGTCCACCCCCTCTGGGGCACCTGGCGCTGGCCACTGTTGGCAGACAGGCTACTGAGCTAGATGGACCTTTGGTCTGACTCAGTACGGCCATTCTTATGTTCTTAAGTGTGCCACAGAGGGACAAGCAGGGGAGTAGTAGGGATTTAAGTTGTGTATGCCCATTAAGAGAAGAAGCAGCCTAAATGTGATGGAGTAGGTTCAGGAAGCCAGTGGAAGGATTTGAGGCAGGAAATAATACTGGTAAAGCAGTAGGCATTCAGTGTTTAAGGAGTAAAATTTGAGCTGTGAGGACATACAGAAAGAGACAGACAGAAGTACAAGTGTGAATAGAGTGGGGTTAAGTGAGAGGAGAAGAGGCAGAGAGGCATCACTGAAAACACCAAATAAGATTGTAAAAGGAGAAGAGAGGGCCAACACAGATTCCTGAGAGACCTTGGTAAAGAGAGGCAGGAAAGAGGCATCACCAAAGAAGATATTGCTGATGTAGCTTGAGAGGTAGGAGGGGATCTAGAAGAACCAAGAGTCTCTGAAGCCTAGCACAAAGAGGCTTTAGGAAGAGGGCAGAAGCAAACGTTACCTAAAATGGGTGAGAGCTGAGAATTATGGAGATAAATGTGGTTTGTTCAGGAAGAGGTCATTGGACAGCTTCTGTGGAATGTATCTGGCCTGGTTGAAGATGATCAAGGAATGAGTTAACTTGGAGAAGTTTGGGTCACAAAGGTAGAAAATACATTTTTAGTATTACGGAAGAGAAGAGTGGTCGATAAAGGAAGGAGATAGGTTCAAGGAAGGGATGTTGGGCTATGGGAAATAATGGCATTTTTGAAGGCAGAGATGTGTGAGCCAGAGAGGAAAGAGGCTGAAATGGAGAGACACCGATTATAAAAGGGAGAAAATAACGGAAGTCAGGAGTTGGAGAGAACAGGAACTGAACAAGAGAGTAGATTGAGGGACTAGTGAAAGATGGTAGGAGATACATACCCGAGTCAGAAACTGGGGTGAAGGAGTAGAGAAGATATTGTAGGAGAGGGGAGGAGGAATCTCATGCCTGAATGTGTGTCATTGTATCAGGAGGTACAATAGCAGGTTTAATGAGGCAGTCAAGGATGGGGAAAAGGCGGCAGTGATTGTAAGAGCAGGACTTAATCGGAGCAGGCAATGCAGCCGCTCACGAAGTATGATGGCAGAGTTGATGACAAAGTTGTAGTGAAGGTAATACTGAAAATGTGTGAGGAATTCTGAGATAAAGAACTTCAAATTGCTTGATGATTAAGGACCAGATTCAGTTACTGGAATAAGTTGATGCAATTCTTCTGAAGGTTCTAGACCAAATTTGTCTCTTAGGCTTTTTGCATAAGGAAAAATCTATCAGCTGTGAAGACACCAGGAAGACCATAGAGATTAATTTGGTTTAGATTTTAACACAAATAAATATCCTATTTGGAGCAGGTGGGCACCAACTTTTTTTGTAATGTTTTTACCACCCTTATGCTGACAAACAATAGTGAAAGCCAGTCAAATGAGAGACATGAAAGGCAGAGATTCCTGTCATTTATTCAGAGTTGGTATAAGCCGACACCATAAAGACAGGAAATAGTTACAAAGACCGTGCTGCCAAAAAATGCCCTTTTTAAAAAAGAGACTTATCAAAGACCCCCAAATCTTCTCCTTTCTTTCCCCAATCCTCATCCTGCTTAATATGAAGTACACTGCAAGTTGCCCAAACTCCAAATCTGGCTTCCTTGTTCAATGTCCATTTTGGTAAGAAGAGAATGGATATTGAATTAATGGATTAAATATACCAAACACGGAACCATTTTTCCCCATCCCTCTAACATAAGAAAGCTATCATTTAACTACTTTAAAAAGACACCTGTTCTGATTCTCCTCACTTACACTGGCTGTGTCTAGACTGCATCCCTTTTCCGTAAAAGGGATGCAGACTGCATCCCTTTTCCGTAAAAAGGATGCAAATTAGACACATTGCAATTGCAAATGAAGCAGGGATTTAAACCCCCCCCGCTTCATTTGCATAAACATGGCTGCCGCTTTTTTCCAAGCTTGGAGCTTTGCCAGATCTTTTGGAAAATAAAGCTTTTTCCGAAAGATCCCTTATAGGATTTATTTTCAAAAAGATCCGCATCTAGACTGGCGCTTTTTTCCAGCAAAGCTCCGAGCCGGAAAAAAGCAGCAGCCATGTTTATGCAAATGAAGCGGGGGGGATTTAAATCCCCGCTTCATTTGCAATTGCGATGTGTCTAATTTGCATCCCTTTTACGGAAAAGGGATGCAGTCTAGACACAGCCACTGAGTTTAAACTAGTGTGTCACTATTGACATCAATGGTGTCATTCCTCAAGTAGATAGAACTAAATGAGTGGAGAATCAGGCCCAGAAGCAGCATTGGTTAGAAGTGCCAGAGAAGGCATAGTTTTTTTCAGCTAAGCCAGTCAAATATAAACTTTAAGTTTAATTAACAAAGCAGGAAAAACAAGCCACTGGTTCAAAGAACACAGTATTATAGCTAAGTCATGATCCAGTACCAAACTCCAGAAAGTAGTAGTTGTGACCTCCACATTACAAAGGTCTCACTGAAGCAAACTATTCACCAGGTAAAACTGGGTATTTTATAAAGCTGAGCTCATTCACCAGTTCAAATTAATTAGGTGTGAATTTTTTTGGCAGCAGTCGTGCCATTGCAGCACTTGGCTACGTCTAGACTGGCATGATTTTCGGGAAATGCTTTTAACGGAAAAGTTTTCCGTTAAAAGCATTTTTGGAAAAGAGCGTCTAGATTGGCATGGACGCTTTTCCGCAAAAGCACTTTTTGCGGAAAAGCATCCATGGCCAATCTAGACGCGCTTTTGCGCAAAAAAGCCCCGATCGCCATTTTCGCGATTGGGGCTTTTTTGCACAAAACAATTCAAAGCTATCTGTTAATGAAATTCAACAATTTGTTTCTCTATAGCCAAGATTTTCAAAAGCGATTACTGATAACAGGGACTTAAGTTTTTGGGTGCCCAATTTGAGGCACCTTACAAGGTCTTGACTTCTAAAAGCAAGGAGCACCCATTTTTAGCCATCAGAAGTTGGGGACACAGTAACTTTTGGAAATTTTAGTTTATATGTTTGGAAACTGCTCCTTATATTGTTTCTTTGGTTGTCAGTAAATTATCTGCTATCTGATAAATGTACAGTTTTAACATTTTCCAGTGCACCTTATTGCATACTTGTAAGGTCATATTCACGCTTAGATTTAGCTGGCAAAAAAGGACTGTGCAGCAAGCTCAAATAAAGTCTCAGTCCCTGCAGAATACTAATTTTAAGTTTATTGGAATTATTTATTTAGGGAGCATTGCCTAATGCTGCTCCTGCAAGTTATACTTTTCATTACAGAAAACTTGTGAACTTTCTTTTCAAAACTAAGCCTACAGTTGGTCAGAAAAAAACTTATTTGAAGTATTTGATGGAAAATTAATTTTTGATTAATTATTTTATGAGAAGCATTTGCTCTCCCAGATTTTTTTTTTATTTTTTTGTCAATAAGCTGAATGGTCGAAAAATGAAACTAAGTATTTCTGACAGAAACTCCCATTCTCTTCTATGGACCAGGAACTTTGACAGCCTTTATCTCCCATGATGCACCATGGCCATGTAACCGCCATGATATTGCACCTACATACACCAATAGAGGGAGGTCATGGCACATCAGAGTCCAGTCAAGGGGCCCAGCCTGTGGAGAAGAATGGGAGTTTGAGGCAGCTGAACTACAACCCTTATGAGGCACCATCTCAGTATTTCAAAATCAGGGTTTTTTTGTGCTTGGCCAGAATATCATTTTTTGATTTTTTTTGCCAGAAAATACTTTCTAGTCAGTTCTGATCTAGTGCACTAGGAAATTGAGAGCTCTTCTGAGCAGTTCTGAATTTCAGATGCAGATTTGTGTGCTGCATTGCTTCTTTCTATTACAATGTTAGTGACATAGGAAGTCTAAGTGCTTAGACACATTGAATCCCACATGTCTAACTCCTCCTTGTTTTGGAATGCAGGTGAGAAATGCTTGTCTGATGTACCATACGATGCTACCACTAATTATGAGAAGGAAAGCGAGATGATGCAGACTCATGTTATAGACCAGGCCATTAACAATGCCATCAGCTACCTAGGGGCAGAATCTTTGCGTCCCCTTGTGCAGACACCTCCCGGCAGCTCCGAAGTCGCACCTCCTATCAGTTCCATGTATCAGCTCCACAAACCTCTTGGGGACAATCACGCTCGTTCCAATCATACAGCTCAGGATACTGCAGTGGAAAACTTGTTACTGCTTTCCAAAGCCAAATCCATCTCCTCAGAAAGGGATGCCTCCCCCAGCAACAGCTGCCAAGACTCAACAGATACAGAGAGTAATAATGAGGAGCGCAGTGGTTTAATTTACCTGACGAATCACATCGTTCCCCATGCAAGAAATGGCCTGTCTATAAAAGAAGAACAGAGGCAATATGATGTCCTGAGGGCAGGTACTGACAATTCCCATGATGCTTTCAAAGTGATCACCAGCAATGGAGAGCAAGTAAAAGTTTACAAGTGCGAACACTGTCGAGTCCTTTTCTTGGATCATGTGATGTACACCATCCACATGGGCTGTCATGGGTTCCGTGATCCTTTTGAATGCAACATGTGTGGCTACCACAGCCAGGACAGATACGAATTCTCTTCTCACATAACACGAGGGGAGCACCGTTTCCACATGAGTTAAAACCCCATTCCCACACAGATTCAACCTTATTAGCTGTAATACTGATACTGAAGCTGTATGAAAGACAAGGACAAAACACACCAGTTTGCTGGACGGCAAAGGCATCCAGAAAAGAAAATTAGAAGACCTGGCCCAGGATTTTTCTCTTCTTGGTAGCATGCATTGCAACTCAGTTTTATAAAACAAATATTGATGTTTTTATTACAAATATTTGGATCACCAAACCTTTAGTAAGTAGGAGCTTTTGTAGTGAGGTAGTTGAATCCACTTCCTTCTAGCTATTGCTTTCCACAGACCTCTCTCCCCAACACAGTTAAGCATGTGCACAACGCACACAAATTTGGCTGAGGTCTAGAAAGGCCTTGTGCTAACATGCTGAGAGTAGGGCTCTTATACCAGACATTTTTTTTAAACTTCCCATTATTGCTTGGCTAATTGGGAAGACTTAATTAAAATAAGATAAAGTGGGACCTGTGGGTGGTGTCATGTGGACCTGGAATGGTATTGAAAGCCTAGATCCACAGGTGGCACTATTTTAGTTGTAAAGTAAAATAGCACAATATCACACACAAAGATGTGGATTTTTTTAATTGTTTTTATTTTTTATTTTTATTTTTATTTTTTTTTGCCAGCAAGGCATACATTATTTGTACTGTGAGCCATAAGGCCAGTTGTTTGAAGGACATAAGAAACAACATTTTAATACATACTCTGGAGTGGGAAAAGTGCTTTGTTGACTTTTTAAAATAAAAGTTTTCCCTCCCTATCCAATAAAAACACACCCTTTCCTTTAAAATAAGGTTTAAAAATCTTTCTGCGTAAGACAGACATTAATGTAGTATTTTTCTGAAGAAGTTTTAATTATTTATAAAAAAAATTACATTCAGTAGGAGAGAGAGAATTTTTATGCACCCTTCTTTCATTTTGAGGGCAATTTTTAATATTGGATACAAAATTTCTACTCTCATCCACTTTGTATATGAAAATGCTCATTCGATTTGCCTAGCAAGTCCTCTGGCTAACTTTTGTGAGCTGTATCTTGAAAATTGAGCCCATTATGTTTTTTTAAAGCACCGAGATAAATTCAACAGCCATTAAAAAAACAAAAACTTACAATCCCCTTTCCTCAAAATTAACTATTTATTGTGGGCTCCATCCTGCAAGAAACTGAGCACTCTGGTCCCAGTCTAGCAAAGCACTTCCCCATTTACCTGAGCAGTCACATGAACGTAAATGGAGCTGTTCTTACGTGTAAAGATAATCCCATATTTAAGGGTTTTTTTGTTTGGTTGGTTTGTTTTTTACTGGACTGAGACCAGAGCAGGGCTCAAGTCCTATGAAACCAAACACATTTATTCTATCTCCCTACACACACACACATATACAGAGGGTCTCTTTCTGTCTCTCTCTGCAAGACCCTCCCAACTAACTGTTTAAGTTCCTGTAAATAAAAAGACATCTGAATCACAAAGATATTTGATACTAAAAACTGTCAATCTGTTTGTCTCTTCTCTAGTTCCTCTTCCAGATAGATCATTCCTCTTCCCAAACAACCTGCTGTCTTTAAGACTGGGTCATAATGATATTTATGCAACTTGGTTAAGAGTCTCCCTTCAGAAATTGAATATTTCCACAACAATACAGGTTATAATTAATTAATGGAGTTACTCAGCCCTCTGAATGTACAAACATTTCCACTGTATTCAAGAGATTGGTACTACTCCATAAACAAAAATCATATATTGCAACAAGACCATTTCTTAGGTCCTGTAATACTGTTATATGTACACACACACATCTGATTACTTATTCATATTATGAGCCAAATTCAATCAAACTGAGCGCACTTGCACTACGGATGAATTTGGCCAACTGGGTATAGTATTCTACATATGTATATTACATGTAAACAGAACAGAGGCAGCCTCGTTCTGCTTTCACTTACATTGTTGTAAATCAAAAGCAACTCCACTGAGGCAACAGAATGATAGTGGCGTATGTGAGATTTGAGTATGCTTTATACCTCCCCTTCCATTACTTTATTAAATTGTACATTCATTCCTCACTATAAGAAATTTACTTTGCAAAAGCCAAACTCCTTGGATCACAAGAGTGATATTACACGGAAAGAATGTATACAAAGCATGGACAGTATAAACACATGCAAACACACTTATGCACATTGAAACAACATTATGAACAAAAACATCTTAAATTGCAGGTACGCTATAAGAAAAAAGATAGCAATATAAACTATATCTCTGATTGTGCTCTCACACTGGTTAAATGTCATTGTCTTAAGTGAAGCTATTCTTGGTTAGAATCTGGCCCATATATATCAGGCAGGAAAAAAGCCAAGAAAGGCGCTGCTATCCATTTTTTGTGCCGAAAAGATTTCCTCACCGAGGGTATGTCTACCGAGCAAGTTATTTTGGAATAACTTATGTTATTCCGAAATAACATAGCGTGCGCGTCTACACTACAACCCTTTATTTGGAAATAATGTCAAGCTGGAGGACTTCTTACTCCAACTTATGGTACCCCTCATTTCACGAGGAGTAAGGGAAGTTGAAGGAGGAGTGTTCTTTCTTCGACTTCTTGCTGTGTAGACAGCGCCAAAAGCCGAATTAAGCTATTTCGACTTAAGCTACTCAATTAATGTAGCTGAAGTTGCATAGCTTAAGTTGACTTTAGCCCTGCTGTGTAGATGTACCTTGAGTCTGTTGCATATTCTGTGTCAACAACGACTGCACACATTGGTGAGCCAACAGCATTTAATCATGCTTCTGAGAAGAAGCTGATATTAAACTGCAAGGGAAGGGCAGAAATAACTTACACTAAGATTAGTTCATTTTTTAATTCACAGATTCTATATGATTTCTTTTTAATGTTTATGCTTTTACAGGGCCTAATTCACCTGTTCTTCATCCTCACAGCTTCATTGCAGGCTGTTCTCCCTGCTGTTCTGACCACAGAGGTACATGGTCGTTTCTGAGAGTCTCTTCAGTGAACTCTCTGCATCACTCACAGCTAACTAGACAGCTGAGGAATGTACCTTAATCTCCTGGAAACAGGGAGCTGGTTCTGTTACTGATATCCATGGCCTGCTTACTGTTTAAAGTGTTATACAATCTATAAACAAGTTATTTTTAGCTTCTGAAATGATCTTTTTCTTATTAAAGCTCAGGTCAAAGGGAAACTCTCTTTTAAGGCATTTCTTTGCCAAAGCCCAACAATAAGGGGGCCAAAATCACTATGGATGTAAGTAGGCACATCGCTACAAGAGCAGTGCCTGCTTAGATCTGTGTTGATTCTGGCCCTTAGAGCGAAATAAAATTTATGATAGTAAAGTTATATGATTTGACTCCAAGGATTTCTCTGCATTTAAATGGGGGTTCGTGTATGTCACTTGTTTTGTCGATGTGCACACACAAGAGTGTGGCTCATACATAACTGTATGGTTATGTATCGTGATAATTTTCACAGTGGATGTGTGTCTTGGCTCTAGGCTTTTCCTATTTATATAAGAGTATGTGAATGTTGTACAATAAATACAGTGATATACTTTAGTTTATTAATAAGATACAGTGTATCAGAAGGAGTAGCATAACAGCAGTAGCAGCAGCATTCCTTGTTTGTAGAGGGGCTTTTGTTTTACATTATTTGCACAAAATCAGCCTCTATTTGTTTGGAAATAAATGTATTGGTAATTTTATTTATGGGGATGAACACAGGAGGGAAAATGATCCATGTACTAGGCGCTTGTCTGTCTGCAGCTAAACAAATTGTGCCTGTAGATAACTGTTAGTGTAATCTCCCTTTTTTCCTCCTATGCTCTGGTGTAATAGCCTATCATGGTTCACCTCTACCAGGAAAAAAAGGGAGTAAACATGTTGAATGGCTTTAAGTTAAGTTGATGACTATGTTTAAAAAAAGGTGTAAATAGTAACATAGTAAGAACTGCTTTTCAGAATTTCTTCCACAGCTGTTTCTCCAGCCTGCCACTGCCTTTTCTATCTGCTATATAAGCAAGTTGTATTTACACATTTTGTTGTGACTTTAAGACTGTTGTATTTACATTTCAAATTTTTTATGAAATTTGCTTGTTTTTTTAATTAAATTATGTGTGGAAGGTGAGACACAGCTTGTAAGAGAGACAGCGTGGCAAAAGACTTGTCTTCTAATTGCTAGAGTGACATTCTGCACAGTTTAAACCCTTTTGTGCATGAGTGATTCTGCATGCACCTCTAACAGCATGAGCGCGTGTGTGAGGGGCAAAATGGAGCAAGGAAGAGAGCATGAAGTTGTGTGGCATCATGTAGCCTGATTTTCTGATCTCATCCTCACTAGTATAACCATATGGAAGTCAGTAAAGTTAAACCAACCTCATGCAAGTGAGAGGTAATCAGACCCTTAATCTTTACAGTCAGGGATTGGATATTCATTATTCCACAGCATTGATGTATTTTGACCATAAAATCCCAAGAGAGGGGTCCTCTCTGAGTCATGTGAGGGAGGGCAGGGCTGTGGAAAATCCTGCAGTTTTGTCAGCCTACACAAGGGTTTATAAACCACTAACAACTTCCTATGCTGCCAGCTTATAGGGGAAGAGAAAGGGAGGCTAAGTGCTTTTGGCTTTCACAATGCAGCCTAATTTAGGAATACCTCACTCCTCTTGACCACTACATAAAGAGGAAGGCATGCAGCGAGTAAAAGGACCCAGCCAGTGCAAATGAGAATTTGAAGCTCCTGTGCACCCACATCTGAGTCCTGTTCTCCACATTTAAGTTAGGCTTTGTGGTCTTTCATGACCTCTGCTCATCAGCCACTTCAACTCCTTTGACTCTCTCAACTTTTGAAGTAAAAAAGTTCTTTGGGCACCTGCTTCTGCATAAGAAGAGTGTAGACTCCACACCAGGGCTGTGTCTAGACTGGCCAGTTTTTCCAGAAAATCAGCCGCTTTTCCGGAAAAACTTGCCAGCTGTCTACACTGGCCGCTTGAATTTCCGCAAAAGCACTGATGATCTCATGTAAGATTGTCAGTGTTCTTGCGGAAATACTATGCTGCTCCCGTTCGGGCAAAAGTCCTTTTGTGCAAAACTTTTGTGCAAAAGGGCCACTGTAGACAGCCCAGCTTTGTTTTCTGCAAAAAAGCCCCGATGGCGAAAATGGCGATCGGGGCTTTTTGCACAAAAGCGCGTCTAGATTGGCACGGACGCTTTTCCGCAAAAAGTGCTTTTGCGGAAAAGCATCCGTGCCAAGCTAGATGCTCTGTTCCGAAAATGCTTTTAACGGAAAACTTTTCCATTAAAAGTATTTCCGGAAAATCATGCCAGTCTAGACGTAGCCCAGCTGTCCAGCTGCCTGAGCCTCAGAGTGATTCATGAAGTAAGACAAGAAGGGTATTATTCCAGCTAACACTCCTACAAATCGCAACACAGTAAGTTCAGAGCTTGCCTACCACTATAGCCAGGTTCAAACAAAATGGCCACGGCAAAGGAGAAGAGCTCTCTCAGAACACTAATTTCTGAGTGTGGGCTAATCGTCTGGGAAACCCTATGCTAACCCCTCACCTTCAAATATATCTGCCACCTGCATGGGAGAAGGGATTTGACCAGGTATCTAGGCAGGTGCCTTAAGCACTAGGCTGTGGGATATTGTCCTGGGGGGCAAGAGGGTTTCTCTCAGTCGCTGATGTAAAAGTGGTTCCACTGTGGACATACATGTTTAAAAAAGTCAGATGAATGGGGATGAGGGAGCTGGGTCTTCTAGCGAGTGCTCTAACCTAGCTACAGCCACTCTCTTGCACATGTACCCAATGATTCATTCTTTGTTTATCACAGCAACACAATTTCAGCAGGTGAAACTGCAGGAGCCTCACTTGTGACAATCCCATAAGCTAGTACTTTGGACTGGTGCTTTGAGAGGTGGCAAAGCCCCGTTCTAGTCCCTTCTGCTAGACAGGAGGGGGACTAAACTGAGTTGGGAGGGGGGTGGTGTCTCCCACACCCTAGCTGCCTATCCTAACCATTAAGCTGAAAGTTATGAAGGAGCACCTCCTCCCTGGTTTCTTGCAAAAATAATCTAGGTACCTCACTCCACCACTAGAATTCTTGCAAAAGGCATTTCTTCCCCCAGCCCAAATTTAGGCACCTATTTCCTAAGAAAGGGGCAGGGCTTATCACAAACCCTCATCGTGACTTCTCCTATTGGCTAGTTCCTGCCTAATCTACTGGATTTTGTGAATCACATTCAAAGCATCCATTTCTCCCCTTTTGTCATTAGGGAGCCAAGGCAACTCAACTGAGTGTTTATGAATTCCAGTGATTTCTAGGCATCTAAAATTTAGGTGTGGTCACACTCAGAACTGCCACATCTATGTTATTTTGTGACTCAGTCCTTAGGGACAAACTGGGGATCATGCCCTGGTCCTACTGCTATCAATTCAACTGAGTGCTATTTGATTTCAGTTGTTGGTTTCTCTTCAGCCCTCTCTCCACTCTTTCACCGCCAAGGATAGCTACAAAGAACACAATTGTCCTGCTTGAAGGGTCATGGTAATTAGCTCACAGCACTCTGGAAATTATTTCCACTATAATTTAGTATCACAATTATTTCGCCTTTGGATCTTTTAGCAGACTCTTCATCACTACTGTTCCTTTCAAACCTACATAAACAATGGCAAATGGGAATCCAGCTGGTTTTGTTTCGAAGAAGTTTGTAAATATTTTGTATAGCTGTTGATGTGTGAGCACACGTTGTGATGAAGGAAAAAAACCTGAGTGTGCGCACACCAGTTTGTGTACCTCAAATCCAAATTTGGTCAGGTAAATTTATGATTTTGCTAGCCATAATAAGCCACACCTACACAGCTTTGTTGTCTTATTTACTGTAATATACAGATATCAAAATTACATTTGAGTTTTAAATGTCATTAGGCAGCACTTCTGGAAACAAACATGGGCTATTTTAGGAACTTCCACTCACCGGCACTGGAGCAATATTGATGGCTTTCTGCAGTATTATGAACCCTTGCACAAAGCCAAAGAACACCCATTGACTTATGTGGGAGATTGCGAGACTACAACCTGTGCAAGGACCTCAGGGTCCGGTGTGAGCACACAAAATACTTCATTGCATCTTTTGCTTTGTTGAACTTATGGACTGATTACAATGGTATCTAAGTTAGAAACTGATCAGCTATAAGTGCCATAGATATGCAAAGCACAATTAACACTGCCCAATATTTTCACCCTTGGGTAACTTTACATTCAGGCAACTAAAAGTCAAAAGGTCATTTCAGAAGTGCTCAGTGCCCACATTGAAACCAGTTGGCGCTGTGGCTTCTGAACACCTTCAGAAGTCAGGCCACTTTTACTTAAGTATCAAAATGTATATTTAGAAATCTAACTTTAGGCACTCACGTCAGAGAGCATTGGCTATCACCATCTTTTTATTATGATAAAAATAC